CCTCCCCCACCCTCCACTTCGGACAGACATGACCAACCTATGACCACATAATTTCCATAAACCAAGGTTTTTAAACTACCTTGAAAAATCAAGAATTCAGTAAAAAACCGAGCCCAAAATCCCATCTTGGGGGGAAAAAAGAGAGTAAAAAAGAAGAAAACAATTTTGACAAACCAAATGAACTTTGAAATGAATTTTTTTTATCCAGGGGGAAGGGTGAAAGTTGAGCTTGCCTCAATTTCTTGAGTCTAACGAGAATCTGCTTGTACTAGTTCTGCTTTTTACGTTTTCTATTAATCAAAGTAAAGAAAAATCAGGTACACTACTTTGAACTGGAGTTTGATAGATTGGGTGCAACAGAAAAGCTCTAGGCTTAGGGAGAAAGGAAGCCTCAAGCTCACAAGGTTTTAGCAGATTAAGCAGTAGAAATATAGTTTGGAATTAATTAAAGAAAAGAAAGCTGAGATTTTTATAAAAGCGTGTAATATTACTTGGACCCATGAGGTTTGTAAAATTTATACATACACTCCTCGCGTTCTTTAATTGGACTAAAAGTTCACTATGTTTTTAGAACTCTTTAGCCAAATCAATGAACAATGTGCAATCCAGCTCCTATTAACTACACGTAATTGAGGAAAAAGAATAATCGATTATTATCGAGGAATCAAACAATCTTTAACTACAACTTTGTTCAAACGTTTCCCATATTTTTACTTATAAAAAAGTAAATTCCATAGTACTTTCTCTGAGGTTTCACAATATGTCAACATTGTTTGCAAGAAATTTAAGGACTGAAACTCAAAACCTATATCAAAAATCAAATAGATTTTCACTCATACCTCGCCATTCTTCTTTGGCCAGAGGGAGTAATCCTTAGTTAATCATAATTGAGATGTGACTTTCTGCATATGATAAGTGAATTTAAAACTGTAGAAACATTTCTTGTTTAAATGAAAATGTATATTCGAAGGACAAAAACAGTATAAACGTCCTAGAAACAAAACTATAGAGGAAGAGACTGCACAACCATTCCAAATTCCCTAAAAGGCGACTGATCCAAATTCCAAATTATGCTCAGAAAACAAATAGTGTTGAGTTGTTGATGAATAGCCGTTTATGCTTTCATGTAGGAAGGCAATTTGAGAGCAACATCAAATAGGCAACTTCCCTGTGATAAGGGTCCAAGCCACAGTAACATATTGATCAAAATGTGCTTACAACAAAACGATCTTCTTCTTGCAAATACATTCAAGTCATTATTTGATAAAATAAAAACGTTATTTCCCAGCCAATCAATAGGGACAGGCCTTCTCAAATTCCTGTTGCTCTTTACGACACATCTCAAACTCATTTGTGTTGTAGTACATGCATCCAGCATACGCATCCATCTCTTTGTTACACCTTTGATGGAGATCCTTCAACCTATAACCAAAAATGAATGAAGGAGTAAAATAAAAATAATATGGAGCTATAGCTCGAGAAGTTTAAAAAAATGAGGAGTAAGGTTTCTCACAGTTGCAAGATCATAAAGTGTTCATTGAGTATCATTCAGATTTCTCACAGTTGCCTAAGCAATAAGATTCATTAAGTATCGCTAATACAACTTGGTTTAAATTAAAAAAATACCAAGATTTTAAGCGGCCAACATGTACTCAGTAAGACCAGGTCTATGTTAGTGGAAATCCACCAAAACATGGCCACTCCACATGTCATCTTTATATTATCTCCACCTTCCCCACACACGGCCCTAACCTAACCCCAATTCCTCCCCCATGATTCAGGCTATTGACCAATGGCTATGTACCAGGAGTATATACTGTTACAGGCATATCAGTTGACAATAAGGAACAAAAATCAATTGGTTGCCTAATAGTTGACTCTTTTCCACATTAATGTCAGTTTTGGGTGTCTAGCGTGGCATTGACTTCTGTTCAAATCTTAGCCTGCATATCAGAGGCATCCAAGCAGGGTACAAAGAGGATTTGCAAGAGATACAATGTGTGCATTCACCAATAATATGCACAAATAAAAGACCTTGAATGCTAGACAATACCTCGACACAGCAAGGCCAGTCTTGTTTGCAGGAAATAGCATGCGGGTCGCGTGGTAATCAGCTTTATTTAGTTGATGGCTTTTAGAGTTGTTTATCTACTCGTAATGTTGATGATGGAGAGATAAAAGAAGTGCTAGAGGAGAGGGAAAAAAAATTGAGAAAATAAAAATATAAGTAGCCTAGAATGGCATTTGGTGTAGAGAGGCTGATTCGGTTGCTCAGTCAAAGGAAGGGATTGCCTTACGTACTTAGTTATGACTCTCTAAAGTGGGCCTGCATTAGTTTAAGAGAATTAAAATGTCACTGAGAAATAACACAAGTAACTGGGTATAAATAATCAGGTAACTGGTCCCAAGGCTTCGGTATCGTAGGGACGTTTCTCTTTTTTCTTTTTTTCTTTTTTCAGAGGGAAGGTGGGATAAGTAGGAAAACAGTTAGCACTGAAAAGGTACTTACAGAGCTTTCCGACATTGTCTAAGAACATGCTTCAGAAGGATTCTAATGAGAGAAATATCCAAGTCCAACGTCTACGTTACATAATAAGGGGATGACAATATCCAACCAGCCTTTTATTTCAAGCAATTCAAATTAGCAAGACACCCAAAACTACCCTTGATTTCACCGGGTTAATCACTCCAAATATATCCCCCATACTACAGAATATTCAACTACTCTGATCAATAATGTTTAGCAACGGCATGGTGACCAAGGAAGAAGATCCTGAAAGCAACCCAATTACATAACGTAACTCATGCAATACACACTCATCTGCACATGGCAAAAGGATATAAACAGTTACAAGTATTCATTATGTTAGAAGAATTTCCAGCTTCTATGCTAAGCGTATACTTCTTCAAGAACAATTTTAATACCAGCACGCATACAAAAATCTAACCTCTGTTGACTTCATAATCGATTTAACATTCCTAAATACACAAACTTTCAGTCTTTAACTGCCAGAAGAGCAATTGTTCATTCTTTCTTTTTTCATGACTGAGGCAAAGCTGTCCTACTAATCTATCCTCCTCCTCTTTAAGTACAAATTTGGTTCAACAGCCATGTTACAACCTCGTCACGTAAGCCTACCACACATCACGCACTATACCACCTTTTGCCGCTGCACAGGCAGCACGCTTGTTCATTCTGGTACATTATTGTTTGAAACCATGTTACATTATGCCTTGACTTCTCTAAGTAGTCCAATAAAAGAAACCAAGGAAATATATCTTATTGCTCTTACTACTCTACCAATTACTAGGCAACAAGAACTATAAAAGGCAGTTGAACTGCAAAAGATTCAACCATTATTAAACAAACATTCAAAAAAAACTAAAATTCTGTCCTGGCATGAGCTTAAATGGAGCAACAGGGTCAGTGAAGACTCATATAGCCGGCCCCAACTTGTTTCAGATTGAGGAGCAACACTATCAGTGAAGATTCATATAGCCGGCCCAAGCTTGTGTCGGATTGAGGCACATCACTTCGACTACTACTAGTAGACGAAGTATCAATCAACTAAACTCACTCCCAAACTAGTAAGGTTGGGTTATAAGAATCCTCTACTTTTTGTTATGAGTGATTTGGACCCATTTCATTCCACTACTCAATAATTTGACAAATTAGAAACTTATCCAAAAAAAATTGACAAATTAGGATTTTGTAAAACGGGAGGTTCTCTAAATCTCACTCTCATGCTAAGTGACACACTTGTTCCTACAATAACATACAAATGTCTAACAAAACCAAACATACTTCGGGCAACAATTAAGCTTAAATCCCAGCTAATCAGATCATCTATGATGATCCTTCTGCAACTTTACTTCATGGGACCACCACAACAAAACGAAAATTCTGCTATATATATACTGTAACATTAACAAACGGATAACTTAAACACTTCATATCTTGAATCAGAAAAAAGTCACCTCCTGATTAGTATAAGTATATACAAACAAAGCCCTAAACTTTCTCCTTTTCTCAATAATTAATTCGCACACAAATCACAACAGTAATAACAATCACAAAAATTCGATAAGGCATTTCAAAATTAAAAAATATTTGAATATGAATTTATCACTTACAGGCTAAGGACACAGCGAGTGACTTGTTGACCTTTGTGAAGGCATTTCTCAGGGTTAGGATCGTCTTTTTTGCACTTGAGATATGCTACATTCTCGCTCCGGCATCTTATGTCAATGTGCTTCGACGCCGACATCAGCACCGCCGATGTTGGGATCGGATTCCCTACTGCATCCACTGCGCTACTCATTCTCCAATAGGCCAAACTTCTCACAACTATCGAAACTTCGTTCACTCTCTCTAAAACTGGAGGTAGTCTTCAGATTGCTGCTCATAGATTTCTCCTACCAAAACTTGGGCTGTTTATTTGGGCCGCTGTGGATTGGGTTGGGTTGTAGCCGTAAAAATAACACGGGCTAGCCAGTTTTTTGACCGATAATTGAAAAATAGCCAGTATTTGCAAAATCAATAAAAAAATAGCCACTATTTTGCTGCAACACGGAAAGTTCCAGCATAATATACTGGAGATTGGTGTACTTGTGTATGAACTTCCAGCATATTATGTTGGAACTCTAGCACACGGAAAGTTTCAGCATAATATACTGGAGATTGGTGTACTTGTGTATGAACTTCCAGCATATTATGTTGGAACTCTAGCACACGGAAAGTTTCAGCATAATATACTGGAGATTGGTGTACTTGTGTATGAACTTCCAGCATATTATGTTGGAACTCTAGCACACGGAAAGTTTCAGCATAATATACTGGAGATTGGAGCACATGTGTATGTACTTCCAACATATAATGCTGGACCAGTATATTATGCTGGAAGTTCACATGTAAAAAATTCAAACTCCAGTATATTATACTGGAATATTTTCCAGATTTTGAACAGTGTTTTCGTTCAAATTTATCTTTACATGAAAAGTGACTAAATTTCGATTACTTTTAAAATTGTGATTATTTTTCAATTACCACTTGTAAATCTGGCTATTTTTGAATTTCACCCATTGTAGCCTGGTGATTGATTAAGTAGTCTGAGAGCTTTTATAGGACGAAGTGCACAAAGAGCCGTTTTTGGATCATTATTTAAATAGTAGTGAATATGACCGGTTATTTGTGTAAAAACTCCTATTTAAAAATAGTCAAAATTTATTCGAAGTATTCTTTTAAAGTTTAGACACCTCAGACATTCGAATCTAAGTTGAAAAATCATGATTTTGAAGCTTCCAACCCTACAGGTCTGAAATTGGGCTTTGCTAAGCTTTAAATTCAGACAAAAAAAAAGTGAATCTGAGCAAAACTTTTTACCTTTGGTTACGAAGTTAGGCTTTAGAAAAGCCTAATTTCAGGATCAAAGATCTAAAGAAGAAGAGGAAAAAGAAGCGTCAGGATGAGGTTGTTCAAATTTAAAGTTTGTCAAAATTGACTAAATTTTAAATAATTTTAAGAAGACTCAAAATATTTTAAATATGAGTATTACAAACGACCACCTTAACGTCATTTCTACAAATCAAAGTATGTTAACTCCTCTTACTCGTACAAGAATTAACCTAAATAGCTTCTCACTCAACCTCTTAAATTAAAAATAGCATACGGGTGTATAATATATATATATATATATATATATATATAATTCAACATATAATATATGTATAATCGTATATAATCTGTATATACCAGTAAAAAAAGTACATAGAATATAATCTATATATATCGAAAATTCGTTCTGCCTATATGTGTAAAGATCCCTCGCCCTTATAATCAGTCCATCATTTTATTTGGGTCGATCGTGGATTCTGCACTAGGTTTACAACTTTTGAGATTAGAGGAATTAACCTAAATAACTATTTTACCTAACAGTTTAAGTTTTATATATNACCTTTATATAAGCATGAAAAGTAAAGAATCACTGTTGTAAAATAGTGAGTGGAATGGCCACTATTGAAAGAAATGACCACTATTGAGTGGAATGATCACTACATAAATATGTCATTAAGCATTTGATAAGAAGATCATGAAGGAAGATCATGGGGAAGGTTATAGAGATAATGGAGAAGAGTAGTGAGCATTACTCCTTTGGTGGTTATGGACTTTCACCATAATTCAAAATTTTATAACATTCTCCATTGGATGTCCATAGATAATGTGTCTCGGTAAAACCTTACTAGGAAAAAAACCCTATGGGAAATAATCCTAGTGAAGGAAAAAGAGTACACATATCATGTAAGACGCATTGCTTGCTGCCTCATTAAAAACCTTGCCAGAAAAACCCAGTGAGACAAAACCATAACTAAGAGAAAAAAAGTACAACGCGTATTTGTCTCCCCCTGATGAAAACATCACTTTATTTTCCGGAAATAACGTATTCCAATCTCGTACACCAGCTTCTCAAATATTGAGGTTGGTAATGATTCATTAAACAGATCCACCAAAGTATCAATCAAATAAATTTGTTGAACATCTACATCATCAATATACCGAAGATCATGTCTGAAAAGAACTTTGGTGAAATGTGCTTTATTTTGTCTCCTTCAATATAATCTTCTTCCAATTGAGATAAGCATGCAATATTGTCTTCAATATTAGTGAAATCTTCTTTTTCAAAGAAAAATCACACATCTATTGTATATTGAGGTACTTGCTTATTCAGTTGTTAATATCTTGGCATGACTTGAATAAATAATTAACAGTCTTGTGAAAGTATAATATGGCAGTACCCTCACATACAAATAGATTATTTGAATAACGAACTTTAGAAAATGCCTACACTTGCATAACCAACAAAACCTTGACAATATTTGTTAGATTAAACAAATCTATATCAAGGATTCTTTTTGCAATATAATCCCAATAGTATTCCAATATCTTCATATATGAATAAAATTTTATCTTGCTAGCATATTATTATACTCATAGTTTTAGCAAGATACTAGACACAAAACAAATCATGTACGCCATGATCGCTCTAATTCACATAAGAATTTGCTGAAGTTTTATTTAATAAATTTCTTAGGAACCTTAATATGCTTCAGAATAATTTAAACCCTTCAATGATTTTCATTATACGCATATCAAGTTTTTCATGTATTGCCAGATTAAAATCTGAAATGACTACATCCCCACATGAGAAAATGTCTTTATATAATCAATGCCAGGATATTTACAAATCTTCTTGTAACACAAGTCGTCTTTATGTCTAGCGACTTGACTTTTTTTTTCACACAAGAATATATTTATACCTCCACTGGCTTTATAATTTCAGGTGTTGGGACTATCCGTCCATCTTCATATTGTTCAGGTGAAGCTAATTTTCATTGCGTATTTTTTATTTGGCCAATCATTTATCTGTCCAAATTTCATGGCAGATTTGAGCTCAAGATTGATGTAATGCCAAAATATTATACTTTTAGCACATTACTCGCCTTATATTTTATTGGTCTAATAAGTTATTGTACGATATTTGAGCTAAATTGTATTGTTTTATATGTAGAAACATCGGAAGGAATTATCAAATAAAATTATACAAAAAAAAGGATAAAAATACAAGAAAAGAGCACAAAAGCATCAAATATCCAAACTGTGCTACAGACCCGGCTTTGCAAGGTCTATAGCCAGGTTGACCGTGCTATAGACCAGGCTTTGCGAGGTCTATAGTCAGGTCAACCGCGCTATAGACCAGGCTTCGTGAGGTTTATAGCCAAGTCGACTGCGGTATAGACCAGGCTTCGCGAGGTCTATAGCCAGGTCGACCACGCTATAGACTAGGCTTCACGAGGTTTAGACCACGCTATAGACCAGGCTTCACGAGGTCTATAGTACGGTAATTAAAAGTCGCGGGTTAAAAGACCCAAACTCGAATTTGGACCGGGGGGTTGACATAAATACTCCCCAAACGAGTTATTCTAGGGTTAAAAAATTGATTTTGGAGAAGAAATAGGCTGCCAAGCACTGTGAAGCAAGAATCAAACGAGTTTTTCTTTCCTTTATCTCTTTACTTTGTAGTTTAATGTCTTTAAATATTATGTTGATTGTTGTTCTATTTATGAGTAGTTAAACTCTTTAATCTAAGGTTTGATGGAACCTATTGGAGGATGATTCTCTATTGCGTTTAATATAGATTTGCCTTTGATTTTTCTCTATTTTTCAACTATATTTTCATTGTTGTTAATTGAAGAGCTCTCAATAAACTGTGCCTATTTAGTGTGTATATTGCTCGAGAGAGAGTGCACATTTAGGTAGTTGTTGAACAACACTACTCCTAACGTAGTTGAGAGATCGATACGGAGGGTTTAAAGGCGGAATTAGAGATAACGAAGTCTTGGTGTGGTCGTCATGAGCGGTAAATTAGTGCCAGCTAGCGTAGTTCGAGAGAATACGTCTAGTAAATTATAGTAGTTACTCGAGAGAGAGCTACGACACTTAAAATACTCACGATCGGTAGAAAATATTTAGGCGAATTTATAGGAAACATAGCGAGGTAGATTCCGACAATAGGGGAAATCATAACCTTAGACTTTTCCAAATCTTGTCTACAATATTTACCTTGTTAGTTATAAATTACTGCATTTTTAATTACTTTGATCTTAGTTAATAAACTCTCAAATTGTTTTATAATATTTTTGAAGGTTGATTACTTGAATTCGTGCAAAACTATTAGTTGTAATTAACACGTTATTTTCCTGTGGGATTCGACTCCGGACTTGTAAACCGGATTATATTTGCAATGACCGCTTAGTCCTTTTTATAAGACATAGTTGGGCGTGATCAAAGATCCTCGTCAATATTAATAAAATTGAGCACTACATTATGTCAACAATATCGTCGACAATCATTTTACATCGGTTCCGTCATCACTCAATAAAAACATAACTTATCGAGATCTCATTATTTTCAGGTACCTGAGCCTCTCTCATAAGGTCTTATAAAGTGTTATGTCATGGTGCTCTTATAAAGCACTAGCCTCTTTATTATGACCATCTTGATCATTTGCTCCTCTCCTTCTTCAAGGAGTTTTATCTTTGGAACCGATTCTTCTATTATGTTGCCTGCGTGCTGTAAACTCTGTCTCTCATGGACTTTATTCTATTTGGAGTATTAGCAGTTGAAATATAACATTTAGCTTTGGGTCAGCAAATGCACCTGGCAAAATAAATAAATTATCACTTGAATTTCAAGTACACATTTTCTTGTTTGAGGATCTAGGTGTACTCATAATAATTCATTACATGTATTACTTTTTCAGCTACCCATTTTCTTTCCCTATTTTTGGGATCACCAACACATATCCCTAACCTTATTTGGGAATCCTGATTGTAGGCTAGAAACCCGTATTTTAGTCGTAGTATTGCACTTTAATTATTGTATTTTATGTGTGTTTGAGCTTAAATGATAGTGAGTTATACTTATTACATGTTTTATGCCTTGTAGGAAATGATTCTAAGTTATTTAGGTAATTTGGAGCGAAATCGAACAAGTTGGAGCTTTGAAATCTGAGTAAAAGCCCAAGAAATTAGGCGGGGATCACGTTCGGGGTCAAGGACCAAGTCCGGATATCAAAAAGTGAATGCATGAATTCACTCTGAGAAAAAGCCACTACCGCGCGGCGCGACAGTAAAAAAGTGGCCTGACAAGAAGAATCTGAGCTCTTTGGATTTCCTCACTAGCGCGCCGCATGGCGCGGCGCGCGGCTGTGCAAATTTGTCAGAGTGATCTCCAAGTTCGGCTAGGAAAGTATAGTTTTGTCCGATCTTGTTTCTACATTGTATAAATACACAAAAAATACAATTTTGAAGGGACTTTTGACCTAGGAAAGATTGGAGAACCAACAAAGGTAAGAAGACTCAAGAATTCATCAACAATACAACCTGCAATCGGTACAATACAAGAGTTTGTATCGAAATCAGTAGCTTTGATATTTTCTTTGTTCTTAAACTTATTTGAGATGTATTACTCTATTGTTATGGAGTAATTTCCATTAGGGTGTTGAAAGATACCGTGTTTTGATAATTTGATCAGGGATTCGATTCTTGATAATTGTTAGAATTACTTGATGGAGTTTTAATTTGTAGTGTGGAGTTATTTCTTATTTTGCTTAATCGAAAGAGGAGCCTTATATTGAATTGCTTTATATCTTATACTCTAGTTTAAATTCGCGATTCAAATAGGTAATCAAAAGAGCCTTTTGAATTGTTAATCGAACTAGAAAATAGGGAAATATTCGTAATAAGTCACCCTTTAGATCATAACCATCATTTTGTTGTTGCAATTGTTTACCATGCTTCAATTGGATTAATTACTAAAATTAACATTTAATCGAAAGAGAAATATTAACTTCAAGTGTAACCTGATTATCTGTTGAATTCGTGAGAATTAACAGTATTATAGAGTGAATTAACTCAAGAATTGGATCCCGAGTCAATTATCTTGCACTTATCTAGTCAACTACCCTTATTTCTCTCATTGATATTTCTTCGTTGTTCATCTGTTGTCTTTTGTGATCAATTGTTACTTGCTTAATTTTTAGTAGTTAATCGTAGTAATAGTCATCAAATCAAGTATTAATTTTCCTGAATAGCAATCAACTGTAGATTATTTGAACACTGTTTAAATCTAATCCATGTGAAGACGATAATTATACTATATTATCTTGGACTAGTGACCAATAATTTTCTACACCAGTTTTGCACTCGTCAAATTTTGGCTCCGTTGCTGGGGATTGGTGATTAATAATGTTTAACTTAATTTTCAGTGCTAATTCAGGAACAACTTTATTTTATTTTCCTTTTTTGCGCTCTCCTCATCTGTGTGCAGGCAACAGGTTGAGTTCAACGGTGTATGGCTTGATCCTCTTCAAAGAACTTGGTGCCATACGACCCAGAGTTAGACAAGCACCCGAGGCAGTTGAGAAGAGAGAAATGATCGAGTGGATTGTTATTGGGCTAACCTTCAACTCAAAATACAATGGTAAACAAGGAAGAGGTAGTGGACCTAGCTGCGAGAGAGGCGGATCAACAACGGGAAGCACGGTTAGCAGCTGAAGCAGCAAGAATTGCAGATGAAACGGTCGACGGGGAGCGAATGTTCAATCCTAATCGAAACGTGCTAGAAGATGAATTTGAAAATGCAGCTCCTAGACCTGGGAGGTCGTTATGAGATTATGCCAGATCGGTATACAACCAACAACAGTCTAGTGTGAGACCCACATCCATTGATGCCAATAATTTTGAACTCAAACAGGGTGTCATCCAGACCATTCAGAATAATTGCATATTCAGAGGGAAGCCCAATGAAGATCCCAACAACCATCTGATGGGCTTCGACGAAATTATGAATACATTCCGTTACAATGGAGCATCACATGATGCCATATATCTCATAGCATTCCCGTTCTCTCTTAAGGATAATGCAAAGTAGTGGTTGAGAAGTCTGCCCGCAGGGTCAATCCGTGCATGGGAGGAAATGACGACCAAGTTATTAGAAAAATATTTCTCTGTCGCTAAGACTGGACGAATGAGGAAAGATATTCACAACTTTAGCCAAGGTGATGGGGAGACAGTGTTTGAGGCATGGGAAAGATTCAAGGAGCTATTACGGAGGTGCCCTCATAACGGAATGGAGCAATGGATGCAAATCTAGGACTTCTAGGACGGTTTAAACCCGTCATCAAGGAGATTGCTGAATAGTGCGGTTGCAGGCCCTCTGATGAAGAAGACTCCTGAAGAGATTGTCACTCTTCTGAATGAACTATCTTAAGACGCAGAACAATGGTCCACTGATCAAGAGGACCGAAAAAGATCAGTAGGGGTGCACCAAGTAGAATCCTCAGTAGCAATGCAGGCCCAAATTACATCTATGGCTAAGGACATCAAGCAACTGACACTAACTCAGGTGCATAATCAACCACATGTGGGATGTGACATCTGTGGATTGGGACACCCGATATATGAGTGTCAAGCTACAACTGAGAAAGTCAACGTTGTGGGAAACTTCAACAGAGGCAACTACCAAGGAGGTAGTAATTTCAATTCTATGGTACAGAGACATCCAAGGTTCTCATGGAGTTCTTCAACTAGTAGTTTGAACTCATGGCAACAGCAGAATCCCAGAGCACCAGTGTAAGGACCTCCTGGTTTCCAAACTCAATAGAGGCAACCATACCAACCTCCACAGCCCAACAACTCAAGTTTAGAAGATCTAATGAATACATTTATAAATAAATCCAACGAGAAACTTGAGACTCAGGGAGCAAGGCACAGACATCCAGAATCTGAAAAGACAAATGGGGCAACTTGTAACATTATTGTCAGAAATGGCAATGGGGACTTTACCGGCACACATTGAAAAGAATCCAAAAGAGACAACCAAAGTTGTATCTCTCAGGAGTGGGGAAACATTAGCAGAGCTAAAGGCAAAACCAAGGGATGAGAAGGAGATCAACTCAAACAAGATAGCTAAAGAACAGAAAATCGGTGAGTCTTTACCCAAGGAGAATGTAAGCAGCAAGGATGTTGATAAACATAGGGTGAACAACGCAGTTGAGGAAAGCAAGCACATGCCATTATTACCATTTCCTCAAAAGATGAAGCGAAGAAATTAGACAAATGCTTTGGGAAATTCTTGGAGATGCTGAAACAGTTGTATGTGAATATCCCGTTCACGGAGGTGCTCACACAGATGCCAGCCTATGCAAAATTCCTAAAGAAAATCCTCTCAAGCAAAAGGAAGCTCAAGGAAATGAAAGTGGTCAAACTCAATGCCCACTGCAGTTCTATTCTACAAAACAAATTTCCTGAGAAGTGTGGGGATCCTCGCAGTTTCACTATACCTTGCTCGTTGAGTAGCGAAAATTTTGACAAAGCCTTGTGCAATTCAGGTGCATCCATTAACTTGATGTCATTATCGGTGTTCAAGAAATTGGAAGGAGAGCTAGGAGTGATCAAATATGTGCCAGTATCCTTGCAATTGGCTGATCAAACCACGATCATACCTGAGGGCATAATTGAGGACATCCTGGTAAGGGTAGACAAATTTATTTTTCTAGTAGAATTCATCGTGGTAAATGTGGAAGAGAATAAGGAAGTGCCTCTAATCCTGGGGAGACTATTCCTTTATACTGGCTGGGCTATTCTTGATATATATGAGAGGAAACTCATTCTACGAGTGAGAAACGAAAAAGTGGTGTTTCAAATGAAGAGAATGATGAAATACCCATGTGATGAGGCATCTGCCTATGTTTGTCTCAAGCTAGATGTGGTGGGAGAATTAGCTGAACAACACAAACTAGATAAGCTGGTAGGTGACTCACTGGAGCGATGCATTAGTCAATCGAGCACAACAGAGGATGAAGATCTTAAGATCAAAAAGGAAGTTGAGGCGCTGAAAATGAGAACCAGGTGGTAGATGAAGATCAATTCGATAAAGAAAAGAGAAAGCCGAAGCTGGAAATGAAAGTACTCCCGACACATTTGAAATATGCTTTTTTGGAGACTAACAATTTTCCTATGATTGTTGCTGCTGATTTGACGGGTGAACAGGAACACATTCTTGTGGAGTTACTACATAAGAATAAAAAGGCAATAGATTGGAGTATAGTCGATATTCAGGGGATCAGGCCTGCAATCTGCATACACACGATCTTGTTAGAAGAATGGAGTAAACCAGTGGTGCAGCCCCATCGCAAATTGAATAAAAATCTTGAGGAGGTGGTTCAAAAAGAGATACTCAAATTGTTGGATGCAGGCATAATATTTTCCATCTCTGGCAGTCAATGGATCAGCCATGTACAGGTTGTGCCGAAAAAAGGGGGCATGACGGTGGTAAAAAATGAGGACAACGAGCTAATTCCTACCAGAACAGTTACTGGGTGGAGGATGTGCATTGACTACCGGAGATTAAATAATGCAACAAGGAAGGATCACCTTCCTATTCTTTTTATTTATTAGATGTTGGAGAAGGTGGCAGGGCGTGGATGTTACTGCTTCTTAGATGGATATTCAGGGGACAATTAAATACCCATTGCTCCCGAGGATGTTGAAAAAACCACCTTTACATGCCCGTCCGAAATCTTTGCATACCGGAGAATGCCTTTCAGACTATGCAATGCACCAACTACTTTCCATAGATGCATGATGTCAATATTTTCATATTTAAATGGGAAGTGTCTGGAGGTGTTCATGGATGACTTTACGCTATTTGAATATGACTTTGAAGATTGCTTGAGGAACCTCGAACCTATTCTGAAATGATGTGAGGACACTCACCTAGTACTCAACCGGGAAAAGTGTCACTTCATAGTTAAGGAGGGGATCGTCTTGGGCCATAAAGTCACAGCTGAAGGTATTGAAGTTGACAGAGCTAAAGTAGACTTAATATCCAAGCTCCCTCCACCGACCTCAGTGAAGAGCATCAGAAGTTTTTTGGGGCATGTCGGTTTCTATAGAAGGTTCATTAAGAATTATTCCAGCATTACCAAGCCTTTGACTGCATTACTTGCCAAGGATGTAAAATTTGTATTTGACGTGGAGTGTCTCAGAGCATTCGAACTGAATTAAGGAGAAGCTATTAAGTGCCCCCATAATGGTGACTCCTAACTGGAGTGAGCCTTTTGAGATAATGTGCGACGCCAGTGATGTGGCAGAGGAGAGATAAACTGTTCTGACCCAATTACTATGCAAGTCGGACCTTAAATGATGCTCAAGTGAACTATGCTACCACAGAGAAGGAGTTCTTTGCAATAGTTTTTACTTTCGACAAGTTCAGATCCTATATGGTGGAAAGCAAGGTAATAGTGCACACTGATCACTCAGCACTGAAATATTTGTTGAGTAAGAGAGAGTCCAAACCGCGTCTCATGCGGTGGGTACTGTTGCTCCAAGAGTTTGACTTAGAGATCAAAGATAGAAAGGGCACAGTAAATCAAGTCGCAGATCATCTGTCTCGACTTGAGAGACTTCCAGTTGAAACAGTTGAAATTAGAGAAGAGTTCCCTGATGAGCAGATTTTCTCCATTGCTGCAGTCTCGAAAGGCCGCCTTGGTACGCTGATGTAGCCAACTTTTTGGCTAGTGGATGGCTGCCTTGTGAACTTTCTCGTGATCAAAGAAGGAAGCTTCAAGGTGAGGTAAAAAATTATTTCTCGAATGACCCTTTCTTGTTTAAACTGTGTGCATATGGTATGATTCGAAGATGTGTGCTTGAGGGAGAGATGGCAAACATTCTATCTCATTTCCATAATGGAGCAGTTGGAGAACACTATGGTAGAAATCGCACGGCAACAAAGGTTATGGAAGTCGGTTTCTATTGGCCTACTTTATACAAAGACACACGGGCGTATGTACCTGCATGTTACAAGTGTCAAAGGGCAGGTAACATTAGCAAGAGGGATGAGATGCCACTAAACTCCATTTTAATATGTGAAATTTTTTATGTTTGGGGCATTGACTTCATGGGTCTATTCCCATCATCTTATTCATATGAGTATATCCTAATAGTCGTTGACTACGTCTCTAAATGGGTCGAAGCAATCCCTACTAGGACCAATGATGCTTGGGTGGTGTATGAGTTCCTACGGAAGAACATCTTTACCCATTTTGGGATACCTCGAGTGATTATCAGTGATAATGGGTCACACTTTGTGAACAAACAGTTCACAACATTGTTATCTAAGTATGGGGTCACACACAAAATAAGAACCCCTACCATGCCCAAGCTAGTGGGCAAGTTGAAGTGGCTAACCGTGAACTTAAACGAATTCTTGAAAAGACGGTTAGTGCTTCTCGTAAGAATTGGTCTGCAAATTTGGATGAAGCTCTATGGGCGTATAGAACTGCGTTCAAAACAACCATTGGGACTTCACCATTCAAATTAGTATATGGAAAATCATGTCATCTACATGTTGAGATAGAACATAAAGCTTATTGGGCAATTAAGATATTTAATCTTGATCTTAGTCTTGCAGGTAAACACAGATTGGCGCAGATGAATGAATTAGAAGAGTTTAGATTGGACGAGTATAAAAATGCGCGAATCTTTAGGAAAATACAAAGAGGTGATATGATCATCTGATTAAGCCAAAAGAGTTTCATGAAGGGGACAAAGTCTTGCTATATAATAGTAGACTTAGGTTGTTCCCTGAAAAATTTAAATCAAGATGGACAAGTCCGTATGTGGTGAAACACGTCTCACTGTATGGCGCCATTGAAATATAGGATGAATAAGGGAATGAAAGTTTTAAGGTGAATGGGCACAGGTTGAAACCATACCTTGTTGGAGGATTTGACAAGCAATTCTCCAGCACCGTGATCAAATGAGCCTAAGTGACGGAGTCAAGCTGACGACTATAACTCAAAATTACTTCTAACCCTCTTTATTGCTTTTGTAGACTAGTTAGATACTGGTGATTTAGGATTATTAGAGTTTAGGAGTTTTGGTACTTGTTTTAACATGTATGAGCATGAATCGAACATAAAATAAATACAAAATAGAGTCGGGGTACGACCTGTAGGCTAAAAAAATGAAAATAAATCGGGACTTTGAGAAAATTGGCCTACCGCGCCGCATGGGGCGCCGCGCTTGTTCAAACGGGAAAAATTTGTCAGAGATAACTCTCTGGAAAATCCCACTACCACGCCGCATGGGGCGCCATGCCCAACGACGCGGTAGTGTAAAAATTTCGGCATTTATAATTTTAAAAAAAATAAAATCTGATTTTGAATAAAAACGGGACAGACTACTACTACCCCCCATATCTCTCATTCTCTCTCAAACCTCTCCTCTCTAACTCACCCCCAAATCCCCCATTCTTCTTTTCTTCTTCAAAGTTCTTAACCTCGAATTCTCCCACTTCCATCACTCATTAAGGTAAGTTCTTCCTGTCCTTCTTTTAGTATTTAATTGTAGAGTTTGGTTAACTTTAGTTTAAGTTCTCTATTTTATTTTGGTACTAATTGTTTTAGCTATTTTTCTTCTATTTTGGCCAAAATGCTTGCATTAACTTGTAGGGTTTTCATTGTTTTAATGATTATGGGTGATATTTGGTGTGTTTTGATGGTGTTGGGATTAATTTATGTTGAAGCTTGGTGGGGGTGTCCTAGTGGCCAAAAATTGGTGAAATTTTGTGTAAAATTATGCACTTTGTGCTATTGGGAAGATGTGGTGATGTTGTGGTTGTGGAGAGTGGTATTTTTGATGTGGTTGTATGATGATTCTAACCCACTTTGAATTGAAATAAGAAGGTGAAATGTATGCCCACAATGTGTTTGTTGAAATATCTTAGTAAAATAAAATTGTGTAGTGTTGCTAATGTTGAAGTGAAGTGCATTGTGGGATGTGATGCTAGATGATAAGTGTGGGGTGAGATGTCATGTTCATATGTTGTGAAACTTTAATTTGTTAGCCTCGAATGCTAATTGATTGACCACCTCAAACTAATGTGTTGCTAGGTGCTAAATGGGCTGTCCGATTCATGCTAAGTACATGTGTAGTGTTGTATTGTATCGTAAATTTTGTTAGTAGTGGATTAGACTAACTTCTTATGATTCTTTTCTTAATTACTAGTTTAGCTTCTTACTTTTATATTTTACACTAGTGTAGTCTGTGGTTATGTTGTTGTAAGGCTATGTTGGTGGTCGGGCAGATTGTTCATTACTCATGGTGTGCTTTCAATGGGGTAGTATGAGTCACTGATATACATTGTACTTGTAAACATGCCAATCACATAAGTGTGGGGTGGTTACCCCATTTGGTCTTGTTTATGTTTGAAATGTTGTGGCTAATGTTGTTCGTCTTGTGCAAGTACAATGTCTCGCCGTCCTAGCAAATGTTCTAACACAGGTACCTCGGAGGTTGCCTCTAGTAGCCATTGAGGAGGTAGGCGGGCACCTCCCCCTGCCCCAGTGGAGGAGGAAGAGGAGCGCATTGATCCTGATGCGCATGTAGTGCCAGGCTGCAAGTATGGCATTTGGGTTGTGCCAGCTCATGCTAGGATGTGGTACCGGACCTTTGTTACGATGGTGAGTCCCGACCCAGAAGTTGCCATAGATGATGGTAAGCTAGCGGGGAAATACTCGAGGATTTACAACAACATCAGATACATGGGTTTTGAAAGCTTGTTCCGTCCCGGTGAGTCGGTGAATGTGAACATGGTTAAGGAGTTTTATGTTAACTGGCAACCCGAGGCCAGTTTAGATGCAGTGTATGAAGTGGAGGTGCGAGGCAAGATGATTCTATTTTCTTCTCGGGTAATAAATCATATCATGGGATTCACAGAGCATTCACATAAGTTGTTCTTGAGGTTGTTGCATCGGCCCCCCTATCCGGATATTAGACGCCAGCTGTGTGGCGGGGGGTCTCTTGCCACATGGATGCAAGACTCTAATGAGTTCCACAAGGACATGAAGAAGT